GAAGCTCTCGTTACAACATGAACATCAATGATAAGAATGACAACATTATCCAGTTCCGTGAGCAGGTACAAAGGTCTATATCCACTAGGGAATATCGAAACCGGGATCTTAACAAGCTCCTTGAGCTACATGCAGTTGATTAGGCCATCTTAATCAAGTCTAGAAGAAAATTAAAACTTATGCTTCTTTCCTTCATGTGTATCCTGCATCACTTTGTCCTTTCCTTGAACATTAATTGTTGAAATCAGAAGACATTACTAATTCTTTTCCCATTACCGGTTGCATATCCTCACTTCATTGTGTAATTTGCTATGAAATGCGCCAAAATTGTTTAGAGGGTGGATGGTGCTAGATGGATCCAATTGAACATCTTGTTAGACAGTAGTTTCTTTTGGTTCTCAAAATTTGAAATCTGTCTATATAGTCCATCAAAGTACCAAAAGTGAGTTATAGCAGTTGCAACCAGCACTAATGTTCTAACAGTTGGGCATGACGGTTTCAAAACTACTCAGTACAGCTTCCATATGCCAATACATGAACAATTATTCTTCCAATTAAAGAAAATTATTACCTTTTCAAAAAATAGCAGAGAAAAGCACGAAGCTAATTTTTTATGGTATCCACGAAAGTAAAGATTAAACCTTCCAAAGTGATCGTTGACTCTAGGGAAGTTTAGAGAGACTTCAAGAATTTTGTGGACTGCCGCTCCAATGGGCAGGAAAATAGAGAAGAACTTTGTTGCTGTCTTGCCACCACTTATATCAAGGAGTGAGAAGGGAAAAAAAATCCCTGCCACCAATCATTTTTATCCAGCAAATGCCAGCAGTAGTAGCCACACGAAGATATCAAATGTTGAATGGGCAATAGAAGATCCCTAATGCCCTTCAAATTTCCTGCTTAAGCAGCTGTTTACACTTCAGAAATCTTTGCTTAAAGAAGAATTTGCTTAACAAGAATAATAATTAAGCTAGTTACTTGAACATGAAAATTAAGCGATAATAAGTACGTAGTTTAGTGATCTTATCTTCTATCGCCATTCACTATGTACCCACAAAAATTCCTTCTGAAAAGATACACGATGTTTCTTATTAACAGAAACAAGAATTTACATCTCGACAGGCTTACCGAATTTGCATTCATGACACAAGTTACAACTAACGCATGCGACTGTCTCCATTTCATCAAATTTTTGTCTGATCAGGAAACAGAATCACAATTACATCCTTTAACAAGCATGGAGAAATTCCCCAAGGCTCCACAGCCAAAACAAGGAAAGGAGACGAAGAAGGATTGGAAGAAGAAAGACAAGCTTAGAAACCATAACGTACATCACTAAGTTTGGTCTTGATCCACTTGAAGCTTTCCCTTACAGTTGCTTTGAGTTTACCTTCAGTTGTGAACATGTTATATGCTGCAATTCTCTTCTTCCTTTTGAGCTCTGGATCATTTGATGCTGTAAATCCTTCACCCCTTGTGCTTGGACCATTAAAAATGTACGAGTTTGATTGATCCTGGAAACCATATTCACTAGAGTAAGATGATGAATATTGTGGGAATGACTTACTTTTCTCCATGCCTCAACAATGTATTGGACACTTTTTTTTTTGCTAATGTGATCATTTCTATTTCCTTGCTTTGCTTCATATATATATGCATGATGACACAGAGGCATTTAACCAATTTATACCGTCTATCATTCCAGTAAGAACGCTATTTTTAATTGGGAGTCTAGCAGAGGTTAGGTACTTGTGTATGCATGAGGAGAAAAACGTTCTTTTTTTATTCCTTCTTTTCTAAACTCAATTTCTAGAAGGCCAGTTTCCTTACTTCTTCCTTTTTTTTCTTTTTTTTTTTTGCGAATGGAATAAAAATACCAAGAGAGACATATTGTGGAATAGCACAGTGAAAGTAAAATAGGACTCCATCCAATAATTGACTTCAATTTTTTTACAGTGATCTTAATAGAGGACCACAACAAAATCAAGTACATTGAACTTCGGAAGGAGGAACGTTTTATTTTAACAATTACTGCCTGGTTTAGAATACAATGAACTTCAAAATAGGTTGAGAGGGTCTTATGAAAAATAACAGAAAACTATAAGTCTCAATAATGCTAACAATTAAAAGAACCAATACTCTACGTTGCTTGACTACCCAATTCTTTAATTGGTCCTTGGTCGATCTTGGCTTCAATATCTTTTACTGCCAAGCATTGGTGAAGTTGATTTAGGCTGAATCTCTCGATTCTTGATTGTGATGCCGGACTAAACAAGCTTCTGCAGTCCAAATTTGTAACTGTATACTACCCTCCCAAATGGGGAGACTGGGGAGAGTTGTGTAGAAACTCCAAAGACAAACGTGTATTCACTGTGTAATTCATTTCCAGCTACAGCAATTAATTGTCAACATCTTGATAGCTATTACAAAATTAAATATAAAAAACAAAAAAAAAGAAGCAAGAATTGTTGTACATGCAATTGATGTTGGAGATACAGGCTTGCACCAAAATCATATGCATGAACAGAAGAAGCATCAAATGTTTTGTGAGGTCCATGTGGTCATGTTGGAAAAGGATGGCTTTTTCTAAATTTTCTTTTCTCACGCTGGGAATCATGAGAGGCAATGGTAGGAAATTAGTGGGGACTGGCTTTTGCAAGATTGCGCATTTGGGTGGCCCAAATTGGGTTCACATTTCTGATTTCACAACTTCACATGTAAAAATGGAGGGCTAAAAATCCATCAAGAATCAGGTGGGGTATTGAGTGGGGCTCAGAGGCATTATCATGTCTTGAAAAGGATGAGCCAATTGTCCTTGGGGTAGGGGGAAATCTATGTAAATACCAATTGGATTGTGTCCAGCATGGTCACTTTAATAGGCGAATATATATATTTTAAGGACCAAACTTTTTGCTTTAACCAAGTGTCTAAAAGGGGCATCGAGCTTTTCAAAGGTGTCTAAAGCCTTAATTTAAGAGGATTGAACCCCTTTTGGAACTTTGAAATGATTCAAATGGCTAGAATTGCATTTACGTAATTCATACTCCAATGGAGTTATTCGTATTCGTACTTCATACGATGTGCAACTAATTTTGTTTAAGTCGAATCGAGTTTCTTAAAGGGGAAGCCCTATTAATATTATCCTTTTCATTTTCATGATTTTTGAATCCAAAATTTCGCGGTTAAAGGATGAAAATCCTTCCACTTACATCAACATCTGTCGGTAATGCAATTTTACTTGATCAAAAAGTGATTGTGATTAATAGATGATAGACTAAAAAGTTACTTTATAGTGATAATATTATGCCTGAGAATTAGATATAGAATACCAGGTTTTAGTGACTGATTCATATATGACTTGAGTCAACCATATAAGTTTGCTGAAGAAGTGAAAAAGGAAAAAGGAAATTGGAAGATAGAAAGTAAAGGAAAAACGCCTGATGAAAATAGTGACGGGACCCATTGTATAAATGGGCTCTTAACTCTCTTAGCCCATGCTTAGGGCCCGTAACTCTCTAACCTGCATTCTTATCCACCTCACATTGCAATACAATCGTTAGTAATGGGCCTACTGCAATATTTGGATTTATGCGGAGTACAGAGTCCAGACTGCTTTGCCTCTCGGGTCAGTCCAGCATGGCTTGGTAAAGTCAAAGCTCAGATTCTATTTCTAATCGCGGGTAAGTTCACTAGCTATTGGTAAATTATATTTTACACCCTTCAACTATATCCCAATTTCCACTTTGGTTTTCAAACTCTAAATCGGAACACTTTAGTTCTTAAACTATATATTGATTCCACTTTGATCAATAAATTATAAGTTGAAATATTTTAATTCCTAAACTATATCTCGATTCCCTTTTTGGATCCCTAATATTCTTTCTTCCCTCCAACTTTGAAATCTTTTTCTTTGTTATTGTTTAATCTGATTTTCCTTCTATGCTCTTGCAACATGCAAAAATGTTGCTAAAATGACTGGCATTTCATTGGTTTTTAGAATCACATTGATAATTGTTCTTAAATGGGAAGGTTTTAATGGTTTAGGGACTAAGGTGTTTCAATTTATAATTGAAGGATCAAAGTAGAAATTGAGATATAATTGAAGAGTGTAAAGTGGAATTACCCCCTTTCAAATTTCCCTCGTGCTCTGGTTTCCCCATGTAAAAAGCAAAAAAAATAAAAAAGACATAAAGAAACTTTTTCTATCGTTACCACGAAAATCATGTAATAAGCACTACAGTACAAGGATAGTCTGTCGGCAAAATTTACTTTTCCTATATTACTAGCGTCTAACCACTGAGCTTTAACTTAGTGATCACGAAAAAGGGACTAAGTCCCTCTTTGGGTTATAGGTCGGGGGTTTGACAACCCTTTCTGTATACCTGTTAACCCTTTACACAATCTTTTTAGGCTCATCATTGCTGGAAAAAACTATATCACTAGCATCTAAGAACTTGGATAAGAGCAAGTCTAGTGATATATGGGCATGAAATTCTGATGGTTGATACCTTTTTTCTTCTCTCTTTCCACATGATTTGTGAAAATAGCTAGGTGTTAATTTCTTCGTTTGTTAGAACGAAAGCGATATGCATTTGAATGTTTTCAAATCTCGATGAGGCAAATGTTCAATTTAGCTAAAGAAAAAAGATTGAAGTACTCCAAGGTAAAATCATGGCAACTCTGACCTTACAGAAGTCACAAGGTTATGCTTATTGCTCCACTTTTTACAACAAAAACCATGAACTTTGGTGGCGCCCATATGAACCTAGTCAACCTTATTAGGAAGCTCATATGTATTAGAATCAAGAACAAAGAATATAGAGCACAATTTCTAAGTTTTTGCTAAGAAAAGTTGACTTTTGTACAGCAATTTGTTTTGGTCCAACAAATTGATTTGCAATACACAATACACTACCAACTCACTTTGACAAGTTCACCTAAACCATGACATAAACAACAAACGATATCGTACAAAGAAAGTCCAAGACAAAAGTCCTAAAACCTTATAATTCAGCCTTGGATTCATCGTCATCCTCCACCACGGAAGACACATAAGACTTGTTATCAGAATTTCTCACTGAACAATTTGCACGAATTTCTCCTTGTCCACCAGTCAGAACACTGAGCTGCCCCATTTTTTGCATGGCAAGCACAAACTTCTCAAAGAACAATTTCTCATCCGAAGCAAAGCTTGTGACAATGTCACTCGTTCTACTATCCGTGTATAAATCTTGGTCAGATGTAAACAACCCTTGTCGATTCACCAAATTAACGTAGTATTTGTTGTCGAATAAGTTCGGAGTTCGAATGTCCAAAACAGTAGTACTAGTAGAATTAGATTCTGGACACGTTTGTTTAAGGTCATTGGCAAACGTCTCCTCCATGGTTGGATCTTGTGTTGGATACAGCCTAGGGGTGAAGGAAGTGCAGTGGCTGATTCCGATGGTGTGGCCACCGGAGAGGGCTACGACGTCCGTTGCGTCGAAATTCTTGGTTGCAAGAGAGGTAAGAAGGGCACTTGCGTTGCTGGTAGGTGGCGGAAGATTAGCTAATGTTGCATTTCTCGTGGCAAAGTTTAACCCGTCTTTTCTTCCCAAGGGTATTTCATAGTCCGGACCTCCACTCTACAATAGCATGAAACCCAACGTCTCACTAAAATATTATACGTGTAATCTATTGTAAGATTGCCTTAATGAAACGCATATGCGAACAACTGTTTGAACATACCAAGAGATCAACAAAACTCTGCAATATAGGGTACGTAGTGCAATATCATAGGAAACATGTTATGTATAATGTAGTTGCCAAACATTGTTTATTCTTGATAAAACATGTTGCAATCAATTTATCTATATACTCATCCATCTCAAATTCTATTCATCCTTCTCTAATCCTTATGTTCCCTCTCTCTCCGCTTCTTAAATCGCATATTTCTCCTATTAGAAAAAAAATGACTTCACGGATTTCATCCTAAATTTACATGGCTAAGCAAAAACAAGATATCAATTTTGAAAGGTAATTTTTTGAAATTATCTTTGTTTTTACCAGGAAAACAGAGTCGCGTGCAGCAAGTGCCACAATATCAGCACATGAGACCACCCTTCCACATTCCTTGTGGACGTGCTCCCGAAGGCTATCAATGATCTTGAATGCCTCAGCTCTTAAACTCAGATTTGGAGGTGCGTCCTTCTCGCTAGGGCCACTATGGGATCCATCAAGCAACACTGAAGCATCACACCCCTGCAATATGTTTTAACATTCAAAACCTAGTCATCTAGACTACACAGTCAAATCACGTTACTAAGAAAAAAAATGGCCACAAATTAATTGTTATTACCAGTTAATAGCTAAAGCTAGTAATTTCATTTCATAGAAAACCTACTGATTTTTTCAAGTCTCAGACAAGGACGTCTGAATTCCCGTTGGAAGTTCAAAAGGGACATCTTCACTAAAATGGAGCACTTTCATCGTACATCTTTATTATCCCATTAACTTCACGACTGTGCCCAATTGTGAAAAAAAAAAAACAAAAGTTTTTTCATTAACTCCATTAGAATAATAGAGCACTTAAATTGAATCCCCATTAATGGGAGAGGGAGAGAGAGAGAGAGTATAGATCATATATGCATGAATTCTCATGTTGTTGGTAAATATCTTGATGTCCTCCTCAGTCTTGTTTAATTTCAATTATCACAAAGAAAAATATGAAACATTGTGTTTATTATTGCATTTAGATATTTGGAGCCAATTAACACTAAAAATCCTTTTAGCCATTGCTACTAGATGCCAATTTAGACACTAACCTCCTTGGTTTAGTGTGGAAATGAAGTTGTATATTCAAAAAAAAAAAAAAAAACAAAGTTAAGCTTCTATATATAAAGTATAGGTTAGTAGGAATTCGAAGTCAACTACCAATTATTTTCTCGAAGAAACAAAAATGTTTTGACCTGAACAAAACAGTCATGGAAATGGAGGCGAAGCAATCCGGCAGCCTGACCAATATCGTCCTCGAAGATCTTCTTTAGATGGTGTCTGATAATGGTCGTTACCTTAGGACAACTGGAATGGTAGAATGAGGCGGACAGTCCTTCAGTTATTGGAGCAGATATGCCATAGGATGAAGATGAAGATACCGATATGAAGGAGATGGTTAAGAATAGAGCTACTAAACAAGGAGCAAGAAACTTCATGGTTGATTTTGGGATGGCTGAACTTGCAAAGGATTAATGCCTAAACTTGGTTTTATGCTTGTAGCATTAGTCGAAGTGGAGGTCATATATATAAAGTTTTAAACTGAGATCAAAGGTGGCTTTTGCCAAGAAAATATTAGATGCCTTCTCAGGTAAGAAGAATACGCAATATTATTTGGAATAATTACTATGGTACTTTTTGTGATGCGATGTATGTGAAATAAAAAAGTGATTGTGAATATAAAAATATGGATTAAAAAATATATATTTGATACAAGCGAAATATTATTTATAATAATTTGCTATCCAAACATTTGATGCCTTCTTACGTAAGAAGAATACGAAAGTCTTTGCCAAGAAAATATTAGATGCCTTCTTACGGAAGAAGAATACGAAATGATGTTTGATTACAAAGAAAGACCAAAAGCATCAGTTTCTGCCTTTCAATTCAGGATTGTGACCCATTCAGTGTTCATATTTGAATGGTAGGTAATTTTCTTCTAACTTGAGTTGGAAGCTTCGTCTAAATTGTCTTTCCAAGCAACTCAGCAAGGTGAACTGTATTCACAACTTGAGGTGTGAACATCATCTTGAAATTGGCCTTCTATAAAGCGATTGAGAAAATCATGGGAGGCTTGCCTTTCGCTTTTTACAGTTTCTTTTGGAATCTTAATAGCTTAATCCTTAAGTTAGTGGGCACAAGTTCTCATGTATCTCATTTTGGAATGAAAAATTCATTTTTACCATCTCTCTATATATAATTGGTTTCTCGGAGAGAGTTAGATTGAATGGTAAGATAATATCGATTGTAAATAGGAAGCCTTAAATTTAAATTTTTTTTTTATAAAAAAAACAGCTTCTTCTTATCCTTATCCTTCTAAACGGTGGGAGAAGAAGTCAATTCACTTGTTGGACGTGACATTCATGAAGCAGCTGAATGCCAAGGGGTATGAGTGAATTCGCTGAAATTAGGGCAAGGACGATTGATCTGTGGATTCAATCATCAAAGGGCCGAAGGAGATGAACCTCAATTAAGGACCACTTTCATCTTAAGAAGGGCTGAAAACAGCGTAAACATGAAATTTTGTCATTTAGGGGCGTTGTTTAAAAACTTATCTTGGGTAGTATAATTCATTTCTTCTGAACCCTCTGAAGAATACGACTAACACATGTTGGTTCACTGTTATTCATATCCAAAATTTCAAAGTCAATTTAAGGCAAGGAAGCCTCCAAAAGAAAAAAAACGTACATTTCCTGATTGATAAGGTCAGGGTCATTTTCATAAACTAGGGGGATATTTGATATACATATACTAGGGTAGTAGAAAACAAATGCAGGGCAAAGATGGGAGAAAGCAGAAATTTCCGTGCAGATGATGAATGATCAAGAACAGAAGAAAGTAAATTTCCATTGAACAAATTGCCCGAATTTCGAGTAAATTCTTAAATTGTGATGAAAAAAAAGTTTTTCTATAAGGGGGGGTAATTTTTGAAGTTAGTTCTAGGATTATGATCTTCACATTTGTGAAATGCGAGTTCAGATACTTCGCATTTCACAAATGCGAGGTCAGTCTCTCAGAAAAAAAAGGAAAAATAGCTCGCATTTGCCAAATGCGAGCTGTATTATCTCGCATTTGTTGAATGCGAGGTACGCAATCTGAACACAACGCCCTTGAGGTCGACCACAATACGCGAGCATGAGGTCGCGTATTCAGTGGTCACGTATTACAACCCGCAGCCGCAAAGCTAAAAACGTGACCATAGGGTCGCATATTGATCCCTCGGCCATAACAAAACGAATACGCGGTCAGTTTCTTCATTCTTCTTCTCTTTCTTCCTTGCGTTTTCTCTCTTCCAAACTCACCCAATTCACAAATCTTCATTTTTGCTCCATAATCTTACTAAAAACCATCAACTCAACAGCTTTTGAGCATCATACAGCCTTTCTAACCGAGAAATTATCAAATCTTTTAATCTATAAGAAATATGACTTTTTTGTTATTTATGTACAAAGAATTACTAGTATATAAAATTTTGTACTGAGAGCTCACATTTGCTAACTTCTAACTCGTGTGAGTTTTAAAATAAAAAGGATTTATTCCTTTATGATAAATGTCAATGCAAAAACAAAAATGATTGTGTGCTCCTAATAAAAAAAAAGCAAATTTTGAATATAATTTTCTAGGAATTCGCATTTATCGGATGCGAGATACAGTAAAGCCGAAAGCCTACTAGTTCGGTTAAGATTTATTGCCACAAATTATTATCAAGTATTGATGGCAATATTATGGGATCTTTTTTTTTCTCAGTTTTGATGAATTTAGAGCCTTAAGTAGTAAAATTTGTAGAAATTTTCATTGCAAATTGTAAATCATGTTATAATTTGCAGTGAAATCATAAAGCAAGGGAAAATGGCATTACAACTGAAGCAAAAAGAAAAATCATGGCAAAATCTAGATTCATGGAAAAATCATGGCCACAAGAAGAAAACGCGACCATGAGTTCGCGTATTGTGTGGTCGCGTATTACAACCTGCACCCCGCAAAAATCATTTAAGGGTCAGAAATATAGACCTCGCATTTGATAAATGCGAGGTTTATATTTCTTTTTTCTTTTTTTTTTTTGGGTTTTGCTGGTCGTAAAATTCAAGGGACTTCGCATTCAGCAAATGCGAGCTCCGTAAGCTCGCATTTACTGAATGCGAAGACCCCTTGGACAGAATCTAGCACTCAAAATGCCTCCTTTGTAGAATTTTTTTAAAATTCATCATAATGTTAGAAATTTCTCCCGAATTTCCCCTTTGATTTCCTGTCAACATGCTAAGCTGCCTCATCTTTTACCATTATAAAATCAAACCTCGCAAAGAACAAACTCTTGATCAACAGCAAAAACTCTTGAAAATGCCCTAGCCCAATGATCAGTGTAAATTAAAATGAAAAAAAAGGTATATTTGCTTTCTCTCCTCAAATTGGGAAGTTTGATAGTACATCAATATAGTAGCTATTAATGGAATGTGCAAGCAAGTAAAATTCTATTCTACATTTTCCTTGCAAGTTACAACTCATCAAGAATGGAAAGAGTTTTGTTCTGATAAAATGAAGTTGGTTAGTGCGTATATGATTTTTACATTCTAATTTTTGGTATTAAACATTATCACATTTCAACTCCACTTTTCTAGTAAAAACTTGAGACATGTACTTCAGCATGCAAATGAATCTTTTTTACCTTATTGTCCGTCGATGAAAACTACCAAAATTATCAGTTGAATAAATTTTCATGTTTCTTTCTTGTGCTAGAATGTACCAGGTCCAAAATAATCAAAAGGGCCAGGGTACAACCTAAAGTACTGACAATATATTTTCAGGCAGGCCTCTTCACCTGCTCAAAGTTGGAACTTCATGTGTATTGTTGCATGGCTTCCCTAAGTCTAGTCTACTACCTGCCCTTAACACCAACACCATCACGCATTGAAATCTTTGATCCTCATGATCAGCTACCACAATCCCACTTACTCTTCTCATCGCCTTCCATTTGGTAGTTCCTTCTTCAAGTTAAAATTATCGAATTAGTTTTGCATTAAATGAAGTCAGCTCCTCCCATTATGGAGTTTGATTTCTCATAAAACTTTCAAAAGTGAATCAAGCCCTCTCAATTCTAACCACAAAATCCATATGGTGGGGTAGAATAATTTTCCTCTCGTGCGTATGATAATATTTTAACAGTGCTTCGTGAAGAATTGTCAAAGAGATTCTTCCCTTAACCATAAGGAAGATTACTATTAGCCACCACAAATTTGTCATACATCGTCTAGTTGATGCATCAATTGGCGGGTCAAAGGAGATAAACCTCATTTTAAGGACCACTTCCATATGAAATTTTATCCATTGGGAGCATCATTATTATTTTTATTCTTTTAGACGCAAAAGAGCCGTCTTTGTTACAATTAAGCTACTGTTTCATAATAAGTTTTTATGTAATACAAGCAAGGTACAGAATCATACACTTCCTGATGAAGAGTAGGGTCATTTCAAGAATACGCAGAATATTTTACACCTATATCAAGCTAGTTGAGAAATGGCACGAAAAAGTTTGGATAAATCAGAAAAAGTCAAACAGTGGATGGAGGAAAAGAGCAAATGAAAAGAAAGTAAGTATAGCCAAATGACAAACTAGATGCCAAAAGTTACGTATTATGCCTGACTTTTATTTTTTGTAATATTGAGACTTTGTTATTTCCAGAATTTTGGCTCATCACAGTCTGGCCTAGAAAAGCCAAACACAGGCAACTGGTTTGATTTATTCATCAGACTCGATTAAAAAACGACCTTCTTATTACAGCAGCCTTCACTCCCAAATTAACGACATTAATTTGAACAGGAATTCTCCATGACTGGATCATTCACAACCTGCAGCCTCAGAACTGTGACAACCCTTTTCCTCCATCTTCCACCACAGAGGACAGAGATAAGTCCAAATTCCTAGCCGAGCAATTTGCACGAATTTCCCCTTGATTTCCTGTCAATACACTCAGCTGCCCCATTTTCACCATCGAATAAGCAAAACTCTCAAAAAATAATTCTTGATCAAGAGCAAAACTAGTGACAATGCCCCTCGTCCTACGATCAGTGTACAAGTCCTGGTCCGACGTGAAGAGCCCTTGACGGTTCATGAGATTAACACAGTACTTATTGTCGAACCTGGATGGACTTTTAAGGTCCAAAACAACCGTGTTATTGGAATCCGAAGTGGGACAAGTCCGGTAAAGCTTTCTGGCAAAGGAATTCTCCATGACTGGATCTCGAGTTGGATAAAGTCTGTTGCTAAATGAGCCACAATGGCCAATCCCAATTGTGTGACCACCTGAGAGAGCCACTAGATCAAGGGTATCGAGATTTAGTTTTCCAAAAGAAGCTATGAGGGAAGTTGTGTTGCCTGTTGGAGGTGGAAGAAAAGCTAATGTTTCATTTCTTGTAGCAAAATGTTGTCCATCTCTTCTTCCCAATGGAACTGCATACTCAGGACCTCCAGACTGCAATACATCATATTGATGATTAATTGTCACTAAGACAATGGCAATTTTTGTTTGAATCAAGAATTCAAATTGTTGGTAAGATTCAAATAAGAAAATGTACTTTTTTTTGTTATATACTTTTGCATGCTATTCATTAAAATCGTAGAATTTAATACGAAACCATGTTGAAACAATCATAAGAACAATAAACCAAAAGAATATTTGCTTTCTGTTCTCAAACTTAGAATTTTATGCAACATAAAAAAGGCAATAGACAAACTTATGCACATGAAGAAGGGAGAGAAAGTTATATCCTTAAAAAATATAATTTTCTTAGTGCATATTTTCGTTTTGCATTCCAAGTTTGGTATTAGATATAGCATTTTTAAACTCCATTTTTCCAGTAAAATTCGAAATATATACTTTAGCATGAGGTCAAACTTGTTTCTTGATCGATGATAACTCGTACAGGTGTGAATCTAAGATAAATGGGAGTACATTTAACCTTTCCAATGTATACAAAAAAAAAATGATTTTTAATCTTTCTGGCTGTCCTTAGTATCTAAAGTGCACCTATTCTTTTCATCCTGCTTGGTACTACGTTATATTATACGTGGTTCGAAATAATTTTTTCCCTTTCGAGGTAACGGGGTCCAAAATAATTCGAAGGGCCAGCTAAGGTACACCCTAAATTACTGGTATTGTAACATTTCTCAATAATTGTACCACCTACCCCAAGATCAGCATCATCACGCATTAATTTTGAGTTAGAGCTGGAGAGAAAATGGGGGTAAAAAAAAAAAGAAAATGTGATCAGTCAAGATCAGTTACGTACCAAGGTCTGACTAGTTTTCCTTACACCTCCATTGAATGGTTCCTTTTTTGGTTGGTATTCTGGAGTTAGTTTTGCATTAAATGAGGCCTGCGTCACCGTTCCTTGAAAACAATAAATCGACTGCTCAATCCTAATCTCTGATCACAAAATCTATCTACAAGCCAGGAAATAAGGGCATTTAAGTTTCATCGGTTAAGGGCTTCCATTTTTTCTTCTTCTTCTTCTTCTTTTTCCTTTTTTCTTTTTAACTCTTTTTGGAGAGTATCGATGGTGAAACTCTACGTAGACCTTAACAATTAGAGCTTATTAGTTAGTATTACCAAGTATTAATTAGCAATTGAATTGCACTCCATTGTTAATTGAGGGTTAATTTGGTATTATTTAAACAAAGAAAAAGGAATGAAAGGCTTTCTTTCTTTTTTTTCCCCTTGAGCGACAGGTGTTGAATCTAAGATTTTCTACTTATAATTTCTCCTACCTCACCGTCCAATTCAACCCAACCCTCCCAATGAATAGGTTACTTCACTGTGAATTGAGCAAATGAATGCATATAGGCTCACCAAGTAAACTGAATCCCGGGCAGCCAGGGCAGTAATATCAGCACAGGAGACAACTGTACCACACTTCCTATGGACATGCATGCGCAGTTCATCGATGAGTTGGATTGCTTCTCGCCGTAACGTCAAGTTAGGCGGCGCGTCCTGCTCACTCGGCCCGCTTGCTGATCCTGCTAGCAGTACTGATGCATCACAACCCTGTGTGGATCAGCTCAGATTAGTGAATTATATTACTTCACAATTTCTTGACTAATAAACAATCCATACTAAAATGTGAGAATTTCCAAATGTTATTCGAAGATCTTCTTGTTACCTTAAATTGTTTGCAGATTACTAGATGAACAAGTCTAGGTGCACCCAAAAAAAAAGTAGTAGTCTAGCACTGATTTTGGGTCGGTTTCTATAAACTTGGAAGAGATAATTTGATATTCTGATTAAAGTTAAGGGCCCTAAAGCATAAATTACTTGCTAGGCATGACCAAATTGTTTCAGGAATGGAAGAATCACATTATTTTGTAGTAACAATACGAAGGCGAACAAAGCTCAAAAGCACCTGGACAAAGCAATCATGGAAATGGATTCGAAGCAATGCAGGAGCCAGGCCAATATCGCCTTTAAACGCCTTCCTAAGGTGCCTTCGGATGGTAGATTCCAATTTGGGACAGCTACTGTCGTAGAAATCCCACGAAAGTCCTTCTGCTAATGGTGGATAACTTTGACTTAGAGCCTTAGTGACGTAAATAGAGCTATGAAGCAAATATGAAGAAAAGACCAGACAAAGTAGAGCAGTAGTTGTCAAAGCCATAGTCGATGTTTGAATCGATCTACAGACTAAACATTGGGACGCTTTTTATAGCATGGAAATAAAAGCAACCAATTGTTGAGACAATTATTATTGTAAAGGGCTCTTTGTATAGGGTACTCTTTATCGAGCGAGCTGGCCTTGTTTGGATTGAAGTTTTTTAAATAAAAATTTTTATATTTTTTGTGATCACATATTTTAATTATTTTTTGATTTTGTAGATATTAAATTGTTACAGTATTTTTTTTTTTTACAAAAATTCTAGAAAATAGTAATCCAAGGAACCACGTTTATTACATTTTAGGCAAAAAAAAAAGGGTATTATATCATGATTGAGGAGTTTTTAATGCTACAAAAATCTAATACAAAAGTACCTCAATGTGGTTTTGATACTGCAAAAGTGATTTTTGTAGTATTCTAGTCGGTAAGAAATGTATTTTGCAGATATCTTGGAGCATAAATTTTCATCATTGACTGTTTCTATCATTCTTTTAGCTGGTAAAAGAAAGAACCATAAATAAACGATAAAAAAGAGTCTCATTCTCTTGCACTTTTGTCCCCCTCTCCTTCATTCGAAACCGAAGAAGCTTGTCTGTAAGGATACCACGTTGCACCTGCGTGGCAAGCCAATCCTAGGACCAGTGTCGTATTATGCATCCATCACAAAGACCAAGCAATTGAATTATGATTCAACTACCACCGACTGAGTTGGCTGCGGCAACAACTCAACCATTTCCCTGGCTTTGGTTCAATTTTTTCACTTAGTTCATGTGAGATTCAAATTGTCCCACGTCCACAGGTCAATCTAGAGATTATATTAATCCCGTGGATGACATTTCCTGATTAAACAAGGATAATCTTTACGTAGAGTTTATTGTCTGTAGGAAATTAAGGGAAAATGTAAATTAACAAATGTAAAATGACCAAAAAAGAGAGAGAGAGAGAGAGAGAGAGAGAAGGAAATGTTAAGATTTCATATTGTAGAATCCAAAAAATTTGACCAAAAAGCTGTAGGAGATAAATTTTATAGAACCAATATATATGGGGAGGCAATTTACATATATAATAGTAATATATGTGGGAGAAGAGGAATAGTACCGACACTAATATACTAATCACACGCTATAATAATAAACCTATCAAAGCTTTACTCTTCACTTTTCTTAATTGGTCACAATAATACGAACCCCTATTTATAGATTAGATTATTTAGTGAATGAGTTTTGACAACCACAATAAATTACCGAATAAATTACCAATTTCTAAATACTAAAACTACTATAATTTGACTCCAATAAAATTACTAAAAATTTGATTTGACTAAAACACTGTTAATTAACAATATACAAACTTCTATTTTTTGGGTTTGATTTAATATGTCAATATTGCCTCTTTTAAATCACCAACAACACTATTCACTATCAATAATCTCACTTGCAAATTTTAGCAATATCACTTTGAATTCTTCATCTTCAAAAGCTTTTGTTGCTGCAATATTCCATGTCTTTGGATAGATTGTTTTCATCGTAGAGTTTGATATCAATTGATTGATAACCCATCACTTCGTTATTTTAATAATCATAATTCACTTGACAAGCTTTTTTTTTTTCAATCTCTATCTTCACATCCGCAATGAAATAATACCAATAATATATATTAATCACACACCATAATAACAAACCTATCAAACATTCACTCTTCACTCTTCTCATTTCATCACAATAATATGACCCCCTTTCACTCTTCTTATTTTATCACAATAATATGACCCCTATTTATAGATTAGATGATTTGGTAAACAAATCTTGACAACCACAATAAATTATCTAATAAATTACCAATTTCTAAACACTAAAAGTACTATAACTTGACTCTAATAAAATTACTAGAAACCCGATTTCACTAAAACACTGTTAAATAATAATATAGAAATTTCTATTTATTGGGATCGATTTAATATTCCAACACATATATCATGCTAGACTTTTATTATATGTAAACATTTCCTTTTTTCTTTCTCCTGCAATTTGACCGCTCACCACTTGGCCAAGCCAATTTCTTCCTTTTCCACCGACCGGGGAAGGAACAAACTATCTGAATTTGTAACCGAGCAATTTGCCCGAATTTCTCCTTCAGTACCAGTCAACACGCTCAGCTGCCCCATCTTTGTGATTGCATAAATAAACTTCTCAAAAAACACGTTTTGATCAACAGCAAAACTTGTAACGATTTCCGTCGTTCTGCTATCAGTGTACAGGTCTTGGTCTGATGTGAAGAGTCCTTGCCGGTTCAGGAGATCAACAAAGTATTTGTTATCAAAATTATTTGGACTTCTGATGTCCATCACAGTAGCATTCGTGGAATTTGATGTGGGACAAATCTCATAAAGGTTGTTGGCGAAGGTTTTGTCCAGGGCAGGATCTTGAGTTGGATAGAGTCTATTAGTGAACGAAGGGCAATGGCCAATCCCAATTGTGTGACCACCTGATAGAGCCACAAGATCAGCGGCATTCAAATTCTTGGTTGCAAAAGAGGTCAAGAGGCCACTTGTGTTGAGTGTTAGTGAAGGAATATTGGCTAATGTTTGATTTCTTGTAGCAAAACTGAGTCCATCTCTTCTTCCCAGTGGAACATCATAATAAGGGCCACCAGACTGCACTCAGATTAAGTCGACAATTGTAGAATGATAATGACAAATTAAATCCTTGAAGTGGAGGACATCTAGATTATCAACAAAAGATGACTTTAATTTGTCTTTTTCATTTCATAATTTCACTAGAACTTGCTAATGAACCTCTATTGTTCAACCATCATAGATTTGCCCTAATCTATTGGACTAAATAGACCGGTGTGTTTAGTCGTTATAAAAGGACAACTAGTACAATAGTCAGGAATCAACGTAGAAAAACAGTGTATTAACTTACTACAAGACCAAGGAGCAAGGAAGAAATCCAACCGCATGCGCCTATGTGGGGTCCAGAGGGAGAAAATTCACCAGGTAGTACACTGCACCCTCTTTTGGAGTTATAAAAGCAGAAGTTTGGTTGCTTGAGTTATGTTTCATCAATACAAAGTACTTGGTTGATGACAATAGTATTCCAAAAACATCTCAGTACATTGTTTTTTTTTTTTTACTAAAAACCCAAATTCTTTCTGTACTACGGCTTTTTTTCAAGTTTTCATCTCTATCTTTCACTAGTTCAACAGATTTTGCAGATATTGTAAATTGTATTATTTTAACAAAACGAATCGACGTAGCCACAAACAATGCCAAATAGGCTTACCAGGTAAACGGCATCCCGGGCAGCAAGGGCAGTGATATCCGCGCAGGACACGACTCTACCACACTGGCTCTCTATAATTCCACGAAGGTCATTTATGGTTTTGAACGCTGCAGGTTGCAATGACAAATTGGGAGGCGCATCCTGCTCACTCGGCCCGCTCGTTGATCCTTCCAATAGCACTGAACCATCACAACCCTGCATAGATCAACTCAAATTCCAAATTGAGAAAGTATCATAAGTAGAAACCTAAAAGCTTTCCAGTGTGTTGGATGAAGAATTTGGAGCATATATATAGAGTGCAAGATTGAAAGGTTAACAATATATAATATCATGTCCATAGCTCAGATAAAAACTAGGGATGAATATGCTAGTTCATTACTAATGAACGTAAATTCTACTTCAAGTATGTACGTGTTTTGATACATCAAGCGATAACTCTTGTCGAGAAGGTCCTAATTTAACGGGCAAAATTGAGACGTCAGGAATTAAAGTCTAGAGTTCAAATCCCTCTTCCTCGTCGTTTCTTAAATCGCTTTAGTAAAAAAAAATTAGAAAAAAAAGGAGCGATAACTACTGTAAGGCGGTTTGTACAAGAAAAAAAGAGGTTTGATTATACATACATATATTAATAGTTTTACGAGAATGCGAATTTATATATTGCAAGCTAATTTTGAATTTGGATGCGTTATTTAATTTGCATTATTACGTGCAACAGGCGACATGCTGTTTTATCATGAAATGAAGTTTATTTGGAATGATGGTGTATAACCTGAACGAAACAATCATGGAAGTGAAGGCGAATCAAGCCAGCAGCTACGGCAATACTATCATTGAAGACTTGCCTGAGGTGATTTCTGATGGCATATTCCAGACTGGGGCAGCTAGATTCATAGAAATCCCACGAAAGTCCTTCCACTAGGGGTGGATAAGTTTGTGCTTTCGTAACATGAAAAGAGCTGTGAAGCAAAAGTGAAGAAGTGGCTAGAAAAAGTAGAGAGCTTAAAGAACTAGTAATCGAAGCCATATTTGGTTTTTGAGTTTCCTAGCCAACACAATGCAAAGTAATTTATAGCCTGCAGCGTATAAAGTCTTTTAGTAAAGTGAGACTAGGCACTCCAATGGACCACGTGGTTGCCACATCTTTTCATCTTGATAAAATTTCAACATCAGGGGACAATTTATTTCCACATATGAGTTCACTGCTTGCATCTGCTAGAAACATTGCAAAAGATTGTTCAGATAGAAAGCTCAGATTGCCTGGTTTTAACTTTGCAACAACTCAAGTTGATTATATATCTACTATTGTAAACATTATATACACTTACACCAAGATTAACGCCTAACTTTTGAATCAAGGTCTAATTATGCAAAGGAAAAATTGCCAATTTTGTCCCTAAATTTTTTTTATTAGTATTGATTTAGTCTCTAACTTTTATTTCTAACCAATTTGATCCGTTAAATTATGCTGCACTTCCAATTAAGAACTCCGCGTCGACACCACCATGTAAAACCAATCTGCCTTCTAATTAACCAACTAAACGGGAGTAGTTTAGAAACTTTAGTTGAAATGCAAGAAAAAACCTGAAAATCGCCGATGGATATTTTAAACCAAGAACCTGAATTTTCTCCTCTCTCTCTCTCTCTCTCTCCATCCAACATTTCTCTCACAATCCTTATTTTTCTTGAATATCCGGAAGAAAATAATGGGATATTTTCCGTGTTTTCTTCATATTGTTGAATCGATTGCCTATTTATGGATAGGGCTGCAAACGAACTGAGCCGCTCACGAGCCGAATCTTTACTCGAACTCAATATGGCTCGTATCTTAACTCGAGCTTGATCAATATCGAGATCGAGTCAAGCTTGAGCTGGTCAAATCAAATTTGAGTTCGAGTTCAAAACATTAAGCTCGTTAATTCAAGTATATATATATATTTTTTATTTTAATAATAAAATTACATATATATCCTTAATTTTTAATTATTTATTGCTAAAAATATTATTTTATTCATTTTTTAAAAATAAAATAATTATTTTTTATTTTTTCGAGCTCGAACTCGAACTTGAGCTTGAGTTTTAGATTGGCAACTCGTCGAGCTCAAGCTGAAGTTTGAGCTTGATAAAATTAAGTGAAGATTCGATTTGATTAGGCTAAAATTGGATTCGACTCGACTCTTTTGCATCTTTACTTATGCATGGAATTTGAGTCCAATTATTGCAGTGATAAAGGAGGAGATTTTTGGGTTCGCAATCAAGAAGCCATTGATGTTAGGGGTGTAAATCCTCCTTTAACGTGCAATTCAAGGCTGCACATCAGTCCTTATTGGGCTCCATATTGCCCTGAATTTAATCCACTTAACGCGCTCTTAGCTGGTTTCGTTTTAGTTGGGATTTGACCGTGGAGGTCCATTGGTCAATTTCCCTGCTTCAGGTAACATGGCAAATGCAATAATTTGATATGTAAAACATCTACTTTTTGCTTTGTTTCTTTCTATTTAATTGTGGGCTTGAATTTATTTATGTAGGTCATGGCTGATGAGGGTCTGGTACCGTCTCCAGAAGAAGAAATCAAGACAAGACATGTCATTGCCAAGCTTAAACAGTTTTATTTTTTGTTCTAAATTCCAGTAAAAGATAAGCACATTTTTTTTTTGGGTGAATCGCATAAACACTTGATCCATGTCTCATCATTTGCGTAGTTCTTGTAAGTTGGTTAATCTTGATTCCGAAGTCAAATTGCTTGATATTGCAGAATTATGAGGTGGGGTTGGTTGGGGGTACGTTGAAGATGACATTACAGAACGTACTGCATTACAAGGCTCGTACCACCCATCATTTTCCAAGGGAAAAAAATGAGGGAGAGAGAGAGGAGATGAGAATAACTTCCAGTAGATGAAAGAGTTCACACTTTCCTGCATTTATTACTTTGTGATTTTTGGTCAGTTTACTGAGCTTTATGATAGCATTATAAGGTAAGATGAACTTACTACTGTTTCATCACTAAAGTTCCCAAAATACCCCTATGATTTTTTGCAAAATATTGTAAAATGGTATTTTTTGGCTGAATACCATTTTACAATATTTTGCAAAAAATCATTGATGTTTTCTCAACTGATTCATCAATTGCTAAGAGTTAGGTTCCGGGGACAGGTCGAAATGGCAGGATTCCGAATGGTATTCCGAGTCGGAAGAAGAACTCTCCATCAAGTAAATGCTCAATTATTCATTTTTTTTGTAATTTTTTCTAATATTTTGCATCATTTTTTTTGGTGATTCGAGCTTTTTATAAATAGCAATTCTTTTGAATAATCGTTAAATAACAGATGTTTTATCTGAAAATGGAGCTGGAAGTTCTTGACATCAATCACAAAGACCATAATGACCTGACCATACTTGACCTTAATCACACACACAACGTTCTTTGCATCACCAACCCCTAAAAAGACATGTCAAGAATAACTAAGCCTTGTTCTCAGCATAAAACATCCCAAAATTCTCACTACACACATCAACAAAGAAAAACTAATCAACATTCATAAAATCAATAAAACAATAAAAAAAACATATAAAATAATCCAATGTTAGAACAGGTCCCTTCTTGACCTGTTGGATACAGTTATGTCTTGTTATATTATCTATATTTGGAGTAAATTTTAACCTTGTTATTCCAAAAGGACCGTGCGTTAGGCGCATCTCTTCTTTGATCTTTTTCCACAACTATAATATTTCTAGTTGATGCAATTCACGACACATAAAAAAATAATACAAAATTTTTTTGTCTTCTTTGACATTTCTAAATCTAGAAGGCATATTAAAAATAGGGTTAATTCGACTTTGTCCTCCCAAACTTTGGACGATTACCAACTTTAGTCCCTAAATTTCAAAATGGGACACTTAAGTCCCTAAACTTATAAATTGGGACACTTAAATCCCTAAACTCTTATAAAATGGGACACTTCGACCACCACGGCATTCAAGATTCTGTTAACAATTTTCCTTAATTGGGAGGTATTTATAAGTTTAGGGACTTATGTGTCCCATTTTGAAGTTTAAAGACTAAAGTGGGTAATCATCCAAAGTTTGGGGGGACAAAGTGGAATTAACCCTTAAAAATATTGCTATTTTACATGAAATCAATATGTTTCCCATTCGGATCTTACAAAATATATTCATTTGAGTTTTGAAATTTGCAAGACTTAATGTAAAGCAAGTCAATTGCCATTATATTTCTCAAAAATTGCAACAAAATTATATTGCGAACATAAATGTACCCTAGTGTCTAAGACTGCATTATTTCGACTTTGACAAACGTGGCAAAGGTAGAATGCATTTAGTCTTTCATGATGCATAAGTCTTTCACGATCCACAAGTCTAGGTTTTATCTGTGCCATTCAGATCCATGCGGGAAGTGGGATGAAGATTGTATTTTGATAGTAAGATCTGTCCAATGTTAATTTTTTTTAGACCCTCATCTCCGAGATTTTCAACAAAACATCTCATTTCTTTCACTTTTCATCTTTTCTGTCTATTGGTCATTTGTTTTCTTTTTAAAAATCCTCATCTCCAAGGTCAAAATTCCAAACGCGACATGGGACGATTTAATATTTCTTCATCTATTTCCATCCATCTAAATTTTTTTTTTTTAACATGACAAGTTTATTTTGAGAATTTGCAGAAGAGAAGATAAGAAGGACCCTTTTTTCAATCAGTGTTAGTAATTATTTAATAATTATTAGTACCAATCTTAGTATTTTGATTACTTTTAGTATTGATCTTGAGCCAAGATTCAATATTGACCAAGACAAAATTTGATGATTTTCCAATTAAAATATTCTCTAACCGAGATCTGATCTCTGGAACACCTTGGAATTGGTTTCACTTTTCGACAATACACCTCATTTTCGATTCAACCTAGAATTTGGGCCAATTAAGTCTGGTCTAATGTGTCTTAGCGTAGCGTCCAATAAAATTCGAGCCCAATTTTTTTTATCAATTCTTTAGTCACGTCATTCTGGTCTAATATGTACCTATATACATACATACATATATATATATATATATATAGTCTTAATTCCTTTTTTTAGCTGAATAAAATTTTACATTATTCTGCAAAAACTCGTAGATGTTTTCTCAACTGATTCATCAATTGTCTAGTGTTAGGGTTCCGAGGATAGGTCGAAATGGCGGCATTTTGCGTCGAAAGAAGAGCACTCCATCAACCAAATGCTCAATTATTCATTTTGATAATTGAATAATGGAGCATAACAAAATGTGGATATGTGGAATTTTGCAAGTAAGCTTTTAATCCTAGACACGCTTTGCAATTTGACAAGGGATTAGCTAGAGAAGCGAAATGGAACTTAAGATGCAAGTTGAGATGGCAATCACAGAGAAAAATTTAAGTTTAATTTAGGTAGCAAGTGGTGTCATTCAAAGTAAATGATACATTGTTTTGAAAATCAGATCGGACCGACTAGTTCGACCAGTCGGACTGCGAACCAATCATAGTTCCAGTTTGGTTCATACCTCGGGTTGACTGAACTTAAAAACCAGTAAAAACTGTACGAACCGGATTGAATAGTTGAACATGCGATTTTTTTGTTTTTGTCTATTAAATTGAAAAAAATATATATATATATAAAAAATAGGTTTTCCTTAACCCTAAAGACTAATTATTAAATGTCACATCCACTCACTTTCTTCTCATTTTTCGCCTCTTATCAAGTTTGCATTTCTATTTTCTATTTTTCTGACTTCCTCCAAACTTCAAACTTTTTTTTTAAGTTGCAATCTCTAAATCCAAAAAATGTGAATTAATAATTTAAACTCACAATGTCTGATTCCCATTGACGCGAATTTTGTATAATTTTAGAATATTGTGGTATTTTTGGGTTGGATTTAAGATTATTTTTTGGTAGATACAATTGAGATTGAAATGAAATTTATTTGTTGCAACTTATAATTTAAAATTTTTAATTGTGAAAATCCAAGTTCTTTGAAAATATTAAATTTTTTATCATATAA